TGAGTGAAACAGAAGAGAGAGAAAGAGAAAATGAATGAACTCCAAAGCTGGTTCTCTGAGAAAAAAAATTTTTACAGACTTCTAGCTATACTGACCAAGAAAGAAAAAAGAAGCAAATTAGTGAAAAATCAGGAGTGAAAGAGGAGACACTGTACTGGTTTTACAGAAATGCGAAGCCTATGAAGGACTGTGAGAACACTGTGAATCACCGAGTGCCGCAGGCTGGATGGTTCAGATGAAGTGGGAAACTCCTGGAAAGACACAGACTACCAAGCCTGTCTGAAGAATTCGACATCAGAACACACTTGTAACCAGGAGAGAGGTCACGTCGTAATTTAGAAACTTCTCACCAAGAAAAGCTCAGGCTTCAGTGGCTTCACCGGTTCGTTCTACCAAGTACGGAAAGAACGAAGGCCAGCCTTCCACAAGTTCACGGAAAGCAGAAGCAGAGGAAACACTCCGCAGCTCACTCTGCGGGGCCAGCCCTACCCCGATGCCGAAGTCAGGCAGTCGGGAGGAAAGTACCAGAGCCAGCAGCGCACAGGTCGGGCACCATGACCAAGTGGGTTCACCCAGGAATTCAAGGCTGTGTTAAACTCTAAACGTCAAGTGATGCAAGAAACCACATTAATAAAGCACAAGAAACGCCCCAATACATGCAGAAACAGCAAGTGACAGAATCTAACGCTCGGTCACGATAAAAACTCTCAGCAAACCAAGACTGTAAGGACCGCCAGCCCCCTGCCAGCCCGCCTCCCCAGGACCCACAGCTAACACCCAGCTTCCCGCTCAAACACCGGCTGCTCCCCCTGCAAGACCGGAAACGGGCAAGCGTGCCGTCTCGCCGCTCCTGTTCACTAGGGGTTGCAGGCAGTGCGGGGGGGGGGGGAGAGGCTTATGGACCGAATGTCTGGGTTCCCCCCGAGTTTGTATGCCCAAGCCCCAATCCCAGCGTGACTGTACTTGGAGTAAGGAAGTGACTGGGGCTACACCGGGTTGTAAGAGTGGGGTCCTGATCCAGCAGGATTCATGTCCTTAGAAAAGAGCGCTGGCTCCCCCGCACCTGCTCACAGAGAAGGGGCCATGTGAGCACCGGTGGGGCGGCGGCCACCTGCCAGCCAAGGGGACAGGCCTCGGGATGGAACCTTCTTGCCCGCCACCTTCATCCCGGGCTCCCCATGTCTAGAACTGTGAGAAAATTCATTTCTGATGTTGACGCCACCAGCCCGAGCAGACAGACACAGGCAGGAAGGGATCCAGACTGGAAAGGAGGAAAATGATCTCCCCCCGAGGGAGCCAGGATCCAGGTTCAGAAGGCTGCAGGACGCAAGGCCCACATTTACATAGAAATCAGCTGTAGTTCTCTATCCTGGCACTCAACAATATGAAAATCAAGCAATTCAGTCCACACAAGCATCCATTTCACAAAGGGGAAGACGTGTACACTGACGACTACAGACATTGCTGAGGGAACTTTAAGAAGACAAATAAAAGCAGACACATTTCATGCTTACGAATCAGCAGCTTCAAAACTATTAGCACGACAGTTCTCCCTGAGGTGATCTACAGACTCAGTACAATCCTCATGAAAACCGCCACAGGCTTTTCCATGGCAGCTGGCCGGCGGATCCTAAAATTCACATGGAAATGCAAAGGACCCAAAAGAGTCTAGCAATTTTGAAAACAGAAATGACTTACACAATCCAGTTTCAAAACTGGCTATAGAGCTACAGGAATCGGAACAATGTGGGGCTGGTGTAAGGCTAGGGATGTAAGTCAATGGAATGGAACAGAACCCAGAAATAAATTTATGGTCAATTGATTCTTGAATTGCCAAGGCCGCTCAGTGGGGCAAGAGCTAGTCCTTTTGAGAACTGGTGCTAGGACAACTGATACCCTTGTGAGGGATGGCAAACTTAGACCCCGCCTCACACTGTACACACAGAAACACTTGGGCAAAGTGGTTCAAATGTATGCTGAAAATATAAAACTCCTATAATAAGGCATAGGGAAAAAATCTACGTGCGAACCTGGGCTAGGCAAAGTTCTTAGCTATGACACCAAAAGCATGACTGAAAAAGAAAAAATTCATAAATTAGAATTCATCAAAATTGAAAATGTTTACACAAGTTTTTCCTTGCATGATTAAGAAAATAAAAATAAGCCACAAATACAGAGAAAATACTTAACAAATCATATTTCTCATTAAGCAAATGTATCCAAAATATATAAAGAACTCTTACAAATCAATAAGATGACAATCTGATTTTAGAGCGGGTCAAAGATACAAACAGACAGTCCATCAAAGAAGATACTTAAAGCTGCTGGCAAGCACATCAGAAGATCTCCAGCACCATCAGTGATTATAAAGCGCAAGCAGAACCACAGTAAGGCACCACCACACACACTGGAATGGCTGCAAATAAAACCCTGACAACAACAAGAGGCTGTGAGCATGTGAGGAACTGGAGCCCTCACGCGTTGCTCCTGCTGGTGTAAAATGGTGTAGCTACATCATAAAGCTGCTTGACAATCTCTTAAAATGTTACACATACGCTTTAACCAAATGGCCCGGCAGTTCTGCTTCTGGGTTTCTACCCAAGAGAAGTGAAGACACATTTCCACACGATGATCTGTACGCAAACGTTCACAGCAGCAATATTCACAATAGCCCCAAACCAGAAACGGTACAAATGCCACCAAGTGCTGAATGGAAAAATCCGGCACACTCAGCCAGCAGGATACTATTCAGCAATTTAAAGAACACACTTCTGAGACACTCTGCAACGTGGGTGAGCCTCAGAAACATCCTTAGTGAAGGGAGCCAGACACAAAAAGGCACGTCCTGTATGATCCCATTTGCGTGAAATGTGCACAAAAGCAAGCCCGTCAGAAGCACAGGGCGCATCCCTGGCTGTCGGGCAGGCGTGGGAGCAGGGACCGACCGCAAACAAGCACGAGGAAGTGTTACATGACGACAGAGATGATCTGGAACTGCTCTGTAATGCTTGTGCGACGCCATAAACTTACTAAAAAAGCACTGATCTGATGTACGTACACTTACGAGGACTGTATTTCATCGATTTTAATGTAAGTTAACTGTAAACAGAAACAGTGAGCTTGCAGTTGGGTTTCAGTTACTGATTTTCACATGGATAAGACGGCTAAAGCCATTGTAAAGTAGCAATTCCTACTAAACAAGGGAAGAATTCAAATGAATGAAACAGTCAACTCAACAAGCTCAGAAAAATGGAGAACAGTGTTTTAAAATGCCCTTTAAAAAATAGTTAATGAATCCAGAAAACAGAAAAGAAGTAGATTGATCAATAAATCCAAGAACTGTTTCTTTTGAAAAAGCTAAAAACCTGAACACCAAGGGGAAAAAAAACAAAACCAGCCTCCTTACTGGTTTTCACGAAGAACGCGTATAAAACTCACGAACTTCTGAGCCGTTCGTACTAGAGATGGGGGCAGTGGCTTCGCCCACACAGGCCTGGGCCCGCAGCTCCCAGTCACGCCTGGGGCTGGCGTTTGCAGTCCTCTGGGCTGGGATGAAGCGGGGGAGGGCCCTGGCCACCGGGCCGCGTGCCCCTGCCTGCC